GTTGGTCACATGGCGTTATATTGAGGAATGGAGATGGCCCTTCATATGGTGTCCAGTATCTCCTCCTCATTGGTTGGTCACATGACGTTATATTGAGGAGTGGAGATGGACCTTCATATGGTGTACAGTATCTCCTCCTCATTTGTTGGTCACATGACGTTATATTGAGGAATGGAGATGGACCTTCATATGATGTACAGTATCTCCTCCTCATTTGTTGGTCACATGACGTTATATTGGGGAATGGAGATGGACCTTCATATGGTGTACAGTATCTCCTCCTCATTTGTTGGTCACATGACGTTATATTGAGGAATGGAAATGGACCTTCATAGGGTGTACAGTATATCCTCTCATTTGTTGGTCACATGATGTTATATTGAGGAGGGGATATAACTGATTACGAGACCAGTCTCTGCAGTCATTACTCACCTGGAGTGATACTTAAAGAAGCTTCTTTCTCTTTCATAGTCTCCATCATTCCATCTTCCTTCATGGACTGCTGACCGCCCCTCATAGGGGTGACTTCTTCCTTGGTGACCTCAGGTTGTACCTCCGTATCTTTTTCACACTTAAGGAACACAAATTTTGACATTAGAACAGAGAATACTAATAAACTAGAACCTCATATAATGATACAAAGTCATAAGTGGAGTTGTAGAACCTCTTGTACCTCATCGATTGGGCGCCGTCCGGTGTGCGTCTTCCTATGTTCAGCGTAACATGATTGGCTTGTGAAGGATTTCTCACATTCAGAACATGGAAAGATCTTCTGGGTTTTGTCTTCATCGCTCTTCTGATTATCAACGGAAGCTTTTCCAGGAACAGCGGGATGCAACGGTTGGGTAGAGGAGTCAACTCCGGGGGAACGTTGGGTTGTGCCGTCATCTTTTGTGTTATGGTCTTCATATGAAGTACGACGTCTGCTTATTGTATTCGGAACGTCGTGTCCATGATCTAGAAAGAAAAATCCAACCAACAATAGGAACGTTCATTCTTCATGTTCTGTAGTCAGAAGTCTTATAACATGGCACACGGCATGATACAATCCTAACACCAACACATGAGATTAGATAATGTCTACAATATAAATAAAATAAGTATGGCGCCATTGGTCATGCCTTATGTACACTGGTGAGCAATGCAGATGGTTCCACCTCCACGACAACATGCCGTTGTATTGAGGAATGGAGATGGACCTTCATATGATGTACAGTATCTCCTCCTCATTTGTTGGGGACATGACGTTATATTGGGGAATGGAGATGGACCTTCATATGGTGTACAGTATCTCCTCCTCATTTGTTGGGGACGTGACGTTATATTGGGGAATCGAGATGGACCTTCATATGGTGTACAGTATCTACTCCTCATTTGTAGGTCACATGACGTTATATTGGGGAATGGAGATGGACCTTCATATGGTGTCCAGTATCTCCTCCTCATTTGTTGGTCACATGACGTTATATTGAGGGGATACAACTGGTCAGTAGACCCGCCTTTGCAGTCATTACTCACCTGTAGTGATACTTGAAGTTTCTTTCTCTTTCACTGTCACTCCATCTTCCTTCTGTGATAGCTGATCACCCCTCATCGGTGTCTCTTCTGCCTCAGAATTCATTTCTATATCATTTTCACACTTAAAGAAACACAAGTTATTAAATTAAAACATGGAATACCAATAAACTAGAACCTCATATAATGATACCAAGTCAGAACTGGACAATCTTTTGAGTTCTAGACCCTCATCTACCTGATCGTCAATTCCATACACCTGATGAGGTTTAGCATAGTTGTGATCGTCCAGACTTGTATCCCGGGAATACAGAGGATGGGGACATCTCTCTGGTGGTTTCTTCTTACTGGATCCATCTGTAGGAAACACACACACTGACTGAATACATTGTTTCTATGTGTGTATCAGATGACGGGGGATCTAGGAAGATGGACCTTCATATGGTGTACAGTATCTCCTCCTCATTTGTTGGTCACATGATGTTACATTGGGGAATGGAGATGGACCTTCATATGATGTCCAGTATCTCCTCCACAATGGTTGGGGACATGACGTTATACTGAGGGGATACAACTGATCACTAGACCCGTGTCTGCAGTTATTACTCACCTGTAGTGATACTTAAAGAACTTAATTTCTCTTTCAATGCTTCCATTATCTCATCTTCCTTTGCGGACTGAAGATCACCGCTCACAGGTGTCTCTGCTTCCTTGGTGACCTCAGTTTGAGTATCCGGATCTTTTTCACACTGAAGCAACACAAATTAATAAAGGAAAATCCTCAATATAAATTAGATAGAATAAACGAGAACTACACATAAGGATAGTATGTAATAAATGGACTATCTCTTGAGTCCTAGAACCTCCACCAACCTGGTCATGGTGGGGGACGGTGAGATCTTCCTGTGTGGGATCCCGGTAATACAGAGGACGGGGACATCTCTCTGGTGGGTTCCTCTTACTGGATCCATCTGTAGGAAACACACACACTGACTGAATACATTGTTTCTATGTGTGTATCAGATGATGGGGGATGTAGGTGGAGCCTCCGTACTGCTCTCTCCTCTTACCCGGTGATGTGAGGGGCGGGGCATTCTCCATCACCACGTCCTTGTGGAGATCCCGGTGTCCTCTAGTTTCATCTACCTGATCATGGTGGGGGACGGTGAGATCTTCCTGGGTGGGATCCCGGGAATACAGGGGGCGGGGACATCTCTCATGGTGGGGGACGGTGAGATCTTCCTGGGTCGGATCCACGGTGAGATCTTCCTGGGTGGGATCCCGGGAATACAGAGGACGGGGACATCTCTCGGGTGGGTTCCTCTTACTGGATCCATCTGTAGGAAACACACACACTGACTGAATACATTGTTTCTATGTGTGTATCAGATGACGGGGGATCTAGTTGGACCCTCTGTACTGCTCTCTCCTCTTACCCGGTGATGTGAGTGGCGGCTCCTTCTCCATCAAGAAGTTCTTGTAGTGTGACTTGTATCCTATGTACACCCACTCCTCTCCCAGATCATCATCTGTTTCATCGTCGTCTTCTTCTTTCACAATAATATTGAAGTCGTCCAGGCTTTCGGTCTGATGGGACAAGATAAGAAATGAGAGTTAAAGGCAGCAGTCGTACGGGCTGCCGCACAGATCCCATTAATCTCCTATCTGGTCTTCCATCACCACGTCCTTGTAGAGATCCCGGTGTCCTTCTAGATACTCCCACTCCTCCATGGAGAGATAGACAGAGACATCCTGACACCTTATAGGAACCTGACACACACAATGATACCGTCACCACCCAGACACGCCCCTTGTCTTTTCCTGGATCATGTCCCAGAATCCCCGGCACCGCTCACCTCTCCCGTCACCACCCAGACACGCCCCTTGTCTGTTCCTGGATCATGTCCCAGAATCCCCGGCACCGCTCACCTCTCCCGTCAGCAGGTCAACGATCTTGTTGATGACTTCTAGAAGCTTCTTGTTGTTGATCTCGGTTCTCAGGGAGGGAGGGGGAGTCTCTGCGATACAGGGGGGTTCATTCTGAGAATTATTGGGGGTTAGCAGCTCTCCGGATTTCTCTTTCACCACTTTATATCCCTGTGCGGTGAAAAAGGAGAGTTGTAACGTTATCTACATTGATTCCCGCAATGGAGCGATGTCATGTGACCCTCCCAGGATCCTCCTCACCTCTCCGGTCAGCAGGTAGATGATCTCCAGGGTCAGGTTCAGTATCTTCTCGGTCAGGTGACCCAAGTTGTCCTCCATCCTGGTGGATGTGGTCCTGTGACCTGTAAATCTGAAGATGGAAAGTAAGCTTAGAAATGATCAGAGTGGTAGTACCCCGGATGTGATTATTCAGTCTGCGGGGCTTCGTATAGGGTTGCCACCCGTCTGGGTTCTTACGCGGACAGTCCGGTTTTGGAGTCTTGTGTCCAGCCAGCGGGCAACGGGACACGAGACACTCAGTGCCGACACCGGCACTTAAAATTTACTGACTGATGCGGCTGCCGAGGTCCCCGGCAAGTGCGATCTAGGGCGGCCACATCGGCCTGAAACTGGAACTTCCCATGAGCTGCGGTGAGCCTGTGCCATGCCCGCAGCTCGCAGGAAGATCCGGTTTCAGGCCGATGCGGATGCCGGGGACCTCTGCAACCGCATCTGTGATAGCGCCTCCGACTCCCTGACACCGTGTTGCCCACCTGCGGACCCCTGGTAAGACACCATAGCTCAGACAGCCCTGAGTGTTGCACAGCCCACCTGAGAGCCGCACAGCCCCCCAGAGAGCCGAACGG